CAAAATGTTAATGGAAAATAGTTCCCGGTCAAATTGGCTGGACCGAAAGTCTTTATGAGCGGAAGGCTCAGATATCAATGATTCCTAATTTACGAGATGCGAAAGTGTAGCAAATTCAAATAAATGATTTCGCGAAAAACGTCAGCGTGACCCTATTGTCTTTTTTGACTTTGATTTTGCATTTCCACCTTGATGAATTAAAAAAATGCGACTCAGAATAATCCAACATGGCTTCGTTCAATTTCTTTGTCATACATGTTCGCAGCTCAGAGCGGCTTATTTGTGTCGAACATAACACATTATGAAATGATAACATCGTTGCGTAGGAAGTGCAGAGTCAACCTACTTGACGCCATGTTTTACACTTATAACTTGAACATACTCAACTTCAATGAAGAGTTACTAACGGTGTTTTTGTTCAGCATGATTAAAAAACCACAAAAGTTTACCAGAAGCGAACAAATATTTTTTTGTAATTTCTTTTAACAAACTTGCACCACGTTACCTCCTAGCAACGTCTTAATGCAACTAATCATGATAATGAAAAAAATTGAATCGTAAAATGTCTCCCATGGATGCTAGGTGTTTACCTCATCTAAACTCCTTGGTACCAATCACAATATACCTGTATTTAGGATTTGCCTTCGGTATAATAAGAATCGTATAGTCCGCCGAGAGGTCTACAATAAACGGTGAATGTCTGGTCATAAAATTTTATGATATCCACTGTACCTGGCCGTGGCCACACTCCTAAGGGCCTGCAGCTCATCCATGCGCACGGCCTGGACTTTTTTCTTTTTCTACACGTGACAGGACAGGTGGTGGGCACCCGAAACGTGCAACATGGTACATATTTGATCCCTGTCAAACGCGAACAGCTGCCGTATCTGACATTACCATAGGCGCCGACACAGTATTTTTATGTCGTGTTTATAAAAGATTTATTATTATGGCTCTTTATTGATTCATTAATTGCAATATTGGCCATTTTAATGAACAAGTGAAGAAAGGGGGCGGTACTCAACCAGGTTGCTCTCCATACAACACTCAATACATACGAGGTCTGTAAATTGAGCGATGAGACTGATTTTATAAATTTTCTTTTAAAAAATAATTACGATTTTATATTGTCACCCTCAAAATAACTTTTGAAGCGACACAGTACTGGAGACGGTTCTTCCACTCCTCATACCAGTGCTGGTACTCCGATACTGGAATACCCTTCAGTTGGTCAGTTACAGCCGTTTAAATGTGTTAGACTCGAGTGAGTCCAAACTTGTACTGAAAGCGGATTACATGTTCCCCTGTTTTGCCTCCAAGCCTGGCATCTCCAGTGTTGCCAGATCGAACGCTACGTTGCCAGTCTCATCACTTAATTCAAAGACCTCGTAGGATACTGCATAGGTCTTATGACATATACAACGCAGCTGGGTGAAAGTGCAATATATGAACATTGAACTGTTCAATACAAACTGATTAGCAGATTATCATCAAAATAGTGTGATAAAGAAATGAAAGTTTGATGAGGACTAGCCATCATTAAAGACTATCGAGAGATTGTATTTGAATTTCAAACGTGGCTTATTTAGGTTCAAACCGCCTATCCGAAGTCATAACCGAAAATAATGTAGAACTTGTGAGATAAGTTATAATGAAAGACAAGCGAATCATCTATAGCCACTTAGCAGAAACCCTCAACATTTCAGAACAAAGCGTTGGGCGAATTATGTTATATGCGATCATTTAAATATTGTGAAACTTTGTATCCCTGGTGTAGCCCACGCGTTAAGGTACGTCTACACGCTGACATAATTTGCTCAAACTGGCTTGTGCAAGTAGATATTTGCGTCTGGACGCTGGTTGTGCAATCTTGCCCATGCGCACTCACTCTCTCTTGCCCAATCTTAAGAGTGAAGTATTATTATTAGTTCCATCAGTCGTTTTGCTTACAAGTACACTTGCAGTTAGCGTTTTTGTTGATTTTTAGAATACCGAATGATAAAGATCAGTGAATTTATTGAACTATATGTCGTTTGCGTGTTTGTGGAAAGTGAAGAGCAAAGAGTATTCAGACCGCAATGGTAAATGTCTAGCTACGATGTTTTAGCTGAAAAGATTAAATCCTGGGATCCGGCGGCTAACAGGGATACTGTGGTGAAACTGATCAATTCTCTACGTACTGTCCACCGGAAAGAGTTGAAGAAAGTGCACCCACATTAATAAGCGATCATTTGCATAAGCACAATTGAGCACGTGCAGTTTGTGCAGATTATCTGAACGTGTAGACTTACCTTTAACTGACATACAGAGGGGTAACAAGTAACTTGGTGTGAAACAGTGCTGCAAAGCTTTGAATCTGGTGACATGAGCTGATTCAACTGAAAAATTTTCGGTCTGTTGGAAAAATAATGGTTGTTTCAGGAAATCAGGTTCAGTGGCAAATACTTCGAAGTTGAGTCATTTATTTTAACAGTGAGTAGATCTGATCAAAAGAAATGTTTTTTTCCTTCACCATTTTTCTGGTAAAATTAAAGTAACAAAGTTATAGCCCTTTGGAAGTTTGAGTACCGCCCTGTCTCAATAATAATATTATGTGCTTGTGTTTGGCAACAACGGATATAATCCGCCTTATCGGTTCATCGCATCGGAAACAAAAAGCGAAAGAATTTGGAACGATGTTTTTACAATTATTTTATTCAGTTGTATACAGTCAGTGTCAGTCGGTAACGCGTGAATGAATAGTGGTGTCTGTTGCGTGGCTCAAACGAAATCAAAAATGGCACATGTTTACGAAAATGCTGAACTTGTGGACATGATTCTTATTTACGGGGGGGGGGGGGAGTCTTTACAAAATGCTGCCGCGGCATCACAAATTTGTGCGAATCGGTTTCCCAATCGAGTGCAACCAACCCCTCGTGCCTTTGTTAATGTAGTACAAAGGGCTCGTGAATCAGGTGACTTAAGACCTCATAGGGGAGGGCATGCCGGTGTTCCAAGACCGCAGACCGCACGATCAAATACAGGTCCTCACTGAAATACTTGTCGGGAGGATACTTTATAAAACAAGGTAACATTTTTTTTTTATTTTTACACACATATTTTGGTTTATCTTCCTTCTACAATCATTATCTGAAAATTAATGACTCAACTTCAAAGTTCAAAGTATATAACAAAAAAAAATAATGGGCAAAATTCGCAAAAATTTTTGTATTTGTATAGTACATAGAAGATTGTTACATACATTACAGTATTAAAATTATGGCATTCATAATGCTTTTTATATTCCTATACAGTTTGTTACTACAATAGTCTGAAAGGTCCGTAACATGCCGAGATTGCACGAATCGATCATTCCATGTAAGTTGTCACCACGTAAAACCAGCTCTTGGCGTTTTCGGGACGATGGACAAGGGTGACTGACGTATCTGGTACATTGAAAAATCGACAGATAACCTCAAACTCGCTTGTTGCTTTGAGGGCTAGACGTACTTTTGGGAGCGGGAATGACTACCCCAGGCGGTCATGGTCTATGCTGGTATTGCGTGGTGACATCTTAAAATTTCTAATGGTGGTTTCGCACAATCTGAAAATGGAAAGAGAAAACAAATGAAGTGTCACCTGAAAAACAGATAAATAAAGCTTATGTTTTATTTCATTTTAATGTTTTGTACCTCTAATAACACTTGTTAACCTGAGGCAACCGGAGTATGTTTTTACTGCTTACGTATGTTTATAAAATATCTCACGTTTTTCGTTTGAATAATTATAACAAATATCAAGTTTTGTTATCTTCCATGAAGTAGGAGAAACGAATGACCTGAATGCAACGCGCCATTTCGAGGTCACTCGACTGACTAAAAAAGGTGACCCACTGGCCATCAATTTTTTTAAAAGGTGATGTCATTGCAATAACATATTCAAGACAGATATGTATGAATCAGACGTATACATTGCAATCTGGTATACATGGTGTTCCGTAAGGAATTGGACAGCGAAAAGGTAGTCTAGACCGAGGCAGCTTCATATCTGAACATAAAATACCTAAATCCATTTTATACAGCCCAAATCTATAATGTCACATATATCTTAGGCATTAATGAACCGATTTTAGTGAAATTTTGCACAATAACCAAATCATGGAACAATAAACAAAATTACCTAGGAACCTAAAACCTGAAAACCAGAGGTCGTAATAATATAAATATATAAAATAATCTTAAAAAGTGACATTTCGTCGGTTTTTGTTTTTGGCATTTCGTAGGGTTTTCTACAAAGATGCTAACTGGCAAAGCTGTTGCACACTTGTGAACTCTTTTTGTATCTGTACGTATTGCTTAAACGTCAGCGAACAGCGATCATGGCAAGCAAACGTGGAATTAACTATTTGCACACCAAAAACTACCTATTCTGCAAGATGACATTTCGTCGGTTTTGTGGCGGTTTTTTTTAGGTTTTTTACATAATAGCCGCGCCGGACTTAATTTTCTCAACTGTTGTTATATTCCAACAAAATCAACACCTCTTTAGTCGAATGTTGTTATAGTTGACTATGTACAAAAAACCCAATGAATGGTTATTAATGAGCAAAATACATTGTTTGCGCCTGTTTCTGGTTTTTTGGTTAAACATTTTTTGTTTGTTCAAATGTTATTTCTATGTTCTTAATTTCAAACATTGCCAACTTGATCTCAAAATTTTACGCAACATTGCTTAGAATTGAAATAAAATTTGACAACTCAAAATTACAGAGCCGGATTCCCTAAATTTCATTTTGTTGAGTGCAACACTATGTAATTTTGAATTTATAATAATTAGCAGATAACATTTCGAACTGGCAATCTTACAGAATCACCGCATTCATCGCGAACATGATACATTGGTGGGCACTATTTTCACACCGTGACTCTGTTTATCCCTCGCCTTTTGATATACGAGTATTATTTCAAGAAGGGGTGAACGAGTAGCACGCTTGATATTATATAAATTATGTTAATATCTACCGTTTATGATGTTCGTATTTGTTGGCACCACAGCTGTGATGCTGCTGTAGATAATGAAAAGGTCGTAACAGAAATGTTTCCAGAAAATCGACATCTGACTGTATGCTATCATTGTTTTTTAGAATATCCATTGTATACTTTGAATCGTGAATTAGCAATGCTGCAAAATCTAGTGAAATAAAAATAATTGGCTTTTTTTCCAGTTAATGATGAACTTGTAGATACGGTTGAATTTTTGATAAGGTTGCGGTATCTAACTGATGAAAATTTCAAGAGGGCATTGTCGCCTTGCATTTTTTTTCAAATAGAATGAGAGTCAAGCGATTCCTGATTTCGAAGCTTCTTATGATTACTTTATAACATGTATTTACTATCCTAAAAAATGGCGTGCTGTCAAAGTTGAGCGTTTCTGTACGTTCAATGGCTTATAATTCAACAACTGACATAGAAAGAAGTCTAATATATATAAAAATAACGGATTCTTGTTTCTAATACTAGAAAACCTCCCTATATCGAGTTTTGCCAAAATCTGAAATACAAGCAATAAGGACAAATAGAAAATAAAATTGTAACTTTGACACCCTGTATCTCGCAAACTATCAACTTTTGGACAAAGGTATGCTTAGGTCAATTCACATATTTTGGTCTGTAGTATCTCCAGTTTTCGAGATTTCCTAACCTTTCGCAGAGTATATATGGCATATACGCCAAAAATAAAAATGTTACAGATCAAGTAGTGAGTTGGATACATCTTTTAGAGGATCGACATCAGTCGACCACTTGTATGAAAAAATACATAAAGTCATAAACTCAGCCATGTTGGTTAAGGTGTATTGGTTAAGGTATGGATGGTACCTGGTTTACACGCGAGTACCTGTAGGTACGCCTGTGCCCTCCTTATTTATAATTTGCTGTTTATCTTCCTCTCTCTGTTTCCTTTTCTTCTGGTACCTGTGATTTAGTGCCGAAACATCTTACCATCTCGGTTTTGGGCCTTTTTCGATTGGATTTAGTCTGCCAGCTGCTATCCTGGCATTCGGTGCTTCCATGTGGTGTTGGGTGGATGTTTCTTAGTGGTGAAAGGTGTATCAAAGGGAGGCAAGATGATCATCTGTATATCTGGATTTTTAGTGAATAATAACAACGAGTAAGTTTCATACCAGTTTGGTTTCAATTTAATAAAATTGAATATTTTTTGTCGTTTATAAATTGAATGCGATATTTTTAAAAATAAAGTTGACAAATCCAAATTTGCTATTTTGTATTGTATATTTGTAACTTTTCCGATGGTGTTTTGAGTTTACTTTTCATGGCAATTGAGAAGGAATCGCGAAAAAATTGTGGTATTGTTTTTTTTTTGATAATAGCAGTTTCATACTAGAGACACTATGCTTCCATTTAAGCCACAATAGACCAAAGAGTCGCAGTGGAGGATCGTTATTGATGATGATTTCATTTCAATAAAGTTGAATATTTTTAGTCGTTTTTAAATTAAATAAGAAATTTTAAAAATAAATTTGAATAAATACAAATTTGCTGTTTTGTGAAAAAAAAATATAATGTATTTCCATCTGGAAATATTTTTTTAATTCGTGATTTAAATTTTAACTGTACGTTTCATAACAATTGAGAATGTATTATAATCGCGATATTATGTTTTTTTTTTGGATAATAACGAGTAGGTTTCGTACCAGCGACACTTTGGTTTGAATTTAATAAAATTGAATATTTTTAGTCGGTTTTAAATCAAATGGGAAATATTTTGAGAATAAATTTGAACAAATTCAAATTTTCCATTTTGTGAAAAAAATCTATCTGGAAATATTTTTCGTGGTATTTTGTTTTTTGGATAATAACAGCGAGTAAGTTTCGTACCAGCGACACTTTGGTTCCAAGTAAATAAAAGTTAATATTTTAGTCCTTTTTAAAATAAATTTGCTATTTTGTGAAAAAAGTGTAAATGTAAATGGAAATGTTTTTCCATCTGGAAATATTCTTTAATTCGGGGTTTAATTTTTTGCAATGGTATTTTTATTTTACTTTTCACGGCAATTGAGAAGGTATTATAATCGCGAAAAAACTTTAAATCCTGCTATGTTTTTTGGATGTTATTTAACGTGTAGGTACATAACGAAAAAACATGTTACTTAGTTTCGTTTGTCTGTACCGGAATATGATGAAATTTTAACACATAGTTCCTGTCAAGGACGAAAAAGCTTTATAGTTGTTGAAAATCGGTCCAGTGAAAATACAGGGTGGTCCATAAGTCCTTTGAAATTTCAAATTTGAATAAAATTTAACGGGTGAGCGTGAGCGGCGCGGGCGAGGTGGGCGCAGTATCTTCAGTGTCTGGGAATTCAGTCGTCATGGAGTGTTTCTCTGGAGCGGGTCGTGCTTTTTGTGTGCGCGCGTTTTATCAAAATAATGATTCGGCAGCCATTGCGCGGCGTAAATATCGAGAATACCGCAATTTACACAATTTTACAAATTGTCCAACAGCTCAAACGATTAAGAACTTTGTTGCTAAGTTTGAAGATACTGGTTCGACGTTAGATAAACAGCGGTGGGGTCGACCAAGGACAACTCGTATTGAAGAAAACATCAACATTGTGGCACAGTCTGTTACTTCGGAGCGGTATGTAGCAATGATAGAAGAGTTTTTGACACCAGCGTTGCAGAATTTTCCAGGCTATAATACGCAGACCTGGTTTCAACAGGTCGGAGCAACTGCCCACACCTCCAACACTTCTATGCCCGTCGTCTGTCAACTTTTTCCCAGCAAAGTAATTTCTCGAAGAGGAGACATTTCCTGGCCACCACGTAGTCCAGATTTGACCCCAATGGACTTCTTTTTATGGGGCTACCTCAAGAATAAAGTGTACGACACCACTCCGCGATCAGTTGATGTCCTGAAAGAAAATATCCGAAGAGAAATGGCAAGCATTACAGTGTTGACTTGCCGCGCAGTCATCGACAATTTTAGACGTCGTTTATATGAGTGCCGTGATCGTAATGGATTGCACTTAGACGATGTGATTTTTAAAACATAATTCCCATTCAATAAAGATGATAACAAAATATAATAATTCTTCATAATGTAACTAGTTTGGTTTTATTCCTTTTTTTCCAGCTCAAAGGACTTATGGGCCACCCTGTATATATCGTTGGTTTTTGACTTTTCAGAGGCTCCTAATCATTTTTAACAGTTTTGTAGGGGTTAAACATTTGGGGTTTTAAATTGTGAGGGGTGAGGGAGGGTATATCTCAATATTTTTGCACTACTGTGTTTATACGCATTCATCTTCAATTCTACGCATTTATCAGTCATATTTCGAACCCCAATTTGCCTTAGAATTATATAAAGATATTTTATTATTGGAGGTTTTAGTGGGTATCAATTGCAGTGAAAGACGTTTTGTTATTCAGAAATTTCGGTTGTATTACCCATCTGTTGGACATAATATCACACATATTTCGCAGAATATTTATGCCTACTTAGGAACACGAGGTATTCTGTAGCTGCTGAGGGTCCGATCCAAATTCAGCAACGCCTACGATGCCCCAGCTGTAAGGGTAAAGCTACCAGAACGTACGAAAGTTGACCCAGATACTATAAAATTTATACACAGAAGCATTTATAGTATAAATACTTCTTGTTCAAAGCTCTTAATTTCTTTTTTTTAATCAGTAGTCAAGGTACAAGCATCTCCATAGCGGTTGGATAATAAATATACCAGTGTGCAAAAGTGGACTTAGAAAGTATACTATACACGCTACATAATCAAAGACCATTTGCCCAGAATTGCATAGGAAGTACAAAGTCAATCGACTTGACGCTACGTTTTAATTCACTCCACAAAAATCGTTAAAAATCTGATGAACTCATTGCGGCACATCAAAACCCAAGATGTTATGTCCGAGTATGTTGAACATATTTATGTTACGTTATCATTCATGTCCTTGCTACTTATCAAACTATAAATAGGCTTTAGCGGATTTTATTGGTCAAGTAATATTAATTTCTGCAGTCGATTTGGAAACAACACCATTGAGAAGGTGATGAAGAGAAGCTTCCAGTTTTTGTCAGAAGCCCTTATACCCGATATGAAAGTCCAGGTGTTTTAACCCATATATTTACCGTTTTGAAATTATGCGTTGTTTTTTGAGTGACTGAATTCGACTTGTTTCGATGTTTTTCATAAGTATTCCTGGTAATCAAAATATACTAAGTGACATATAAATCCGAACAGCCAGTTTAAATGGTTTTATTTTAATAAAAGTTGGTGAATGTATTTATCTTACTGTAAATAACAAGTGAAAAAATTTTCAGCCTTATCAGTTGGACATTCCGGTTTTTATACTGCTTTTTTTTAATTCACTAACGCTCTAAAAATGAATATTTCAGCCGCAGTAAAGAATCAACGTTGGCGGATTTTGGTTCTTGACATCCTTTACGATCTGTTACGATGCCTAGAGTACGGAGACCTGTACGATTTCGTCAACTTAGTGAGTTTGATAGGGGCCGTATAGTGGGACTTCGAGAAGCTGGACTTTCTTTTCGGGCAAATGCAGTTAGAGTGCAAAGAAGTGTAGACACTGTGGTTAGGTGTTGTCAGGCATGGCTTCGAGAAGGCCGTACGCAAAGAGCAGAACACGGAAGACCTATTGGCATGCGAAGTGTTTACCGACGAATGAGAAGTTTTGGCTTGTTTTCATACCGGCCACACTGGGTCCTCCCTTTAACTCGAGAACACCGACGTAATCGCCTTGAGTGGTGCAGACAACGGTCACTCTGGGATCAGGAATGGAACAGTATTGTCTTTAGTGACGAGTCTCGATTTTGTTTAGGCATGCACGATGGTCGTGCCAGGGTTAGAAGGCGACTTTGTGAAAGGAGGAATCCACAGTTTTTTGTTGAAAGACATGTTCATCACACTGTTGGGGTTATGGTTTGGGGTGCTATAGCTTATGGTTCCAGGTCACCTTTAATCTTCATCAGAGGTAACATGAACGCGCAGCGTTATATCCACGAAGTTCTAGAACCCCATCTTTTACCCTATCTTGACACCCTGGCAGATCCAACTTTCCGACAAGATAATGCCCGACCACATGTTGCAAGAGTCACAATAGACTTCTTTCAACATAATCATGTCACATTGT